AGGTTTGAAATATTATATCTTTGAAATTTCGTCTTGTTTTCTGCTCTCAATCGCGTTTGCAAGAAACAGTCTTGACCATTCTCTTTATCTGCAGGTTTTCTCAATGAACCTTTCTGCTCCATTTATCTGTGAATTTTTCAAGGATGCTCAGGAGAAAGTTTTGCCGTAAGTTCCTATCCTTTTTGTTACAGTAATAGAGTAATATGGACATACTGATGTAGATGTGCCTTTTTTTATTGATTGAAATTTAGGTATATGGACTTTGTTTTTGGAAATGAGACGGAAGCTAGAACCTTTTCAAAAGTCCATGGCTGGGAGGTAATTGCCTAGTGCCAGACCACATTAATGGTTTCCACTTGTAGTGTTAATTGATTCTGATTGATTGAGTTAACAGACTGATGATGTCGAGCAAATAGCTCTAAAGATCGCCCAGTGGCCCAAAGCATCAGGAACACACAAGAGGATTACTGTTATTACTCAAGGTGCAGATCCCGTAGTTGTTGCTGAGGATGGGAAAGTGAAAAAGTTCCCAGTCATAAGGTTGCCCAAAGAAAAACTGGTTGATACCAACGGAGCAGGTATGTCTTGTGTAGCAGCTTGTAGGGCATTCTTGAAAGCATTAACATAAGCATCCAAATGTTTGTCACATAAGATTACGACTTTCATCAATGTCGCTCCATCAGATTAGTTAAAATAACAGAGACTTAACAATTGAAATTGTGATTAACTTGTTATGTTGTTTTTGGTCTAGGGGATGCGTTTGTTGGAGGTTTTCTATCTCAGTTAGTTCTAGAGAAACCAATCGAAGACTGTGTGAAAGCGGGAAACTATGCCGCGAATGTTGTCATCCAAAGGTCTGGCTGCACCTACCCAGAGAAGCCTGATTTCAATTAAGCCATTCCTTTTGTGTCTGTCTCTACTTCCTATGTGTTATTTAAAATTTTGATTGTTTTGAAGTCTATTGCTAGTATTCTATCTTTGTATTTGCTTATTAATTATTATAGTCATTTGGATGAATGATGCATCCGGAAATTTCCCACTAAACCTAGTTATTTGGTATGGGATTTTTAACCCCCAACCCTTTCTTTTAACAAGTCAGGAAAAAGTTCATATATATGTTGTATTGTGTTGAGGAATGCTAGCGACCTTCTCTCTCATATTTCCTATTCATTTTATCATCATCCAATTATTATTTTGGCCTCATTTCACAAAATAAACTTCCGGGATATCGTCCCATTTTTGATCGCATTATACTGCTGGCCCATCATCATGGATGATGAAAAATGGTCAAAGTACTTGCCCAATAAAAAAAGGGCCTAGGTCTCCAATAGGAAAGGTCCTCCCAAAAACAAAAAAAACATTTCATGCACGAGTGTATGAAGAGTTTGAGTAAAAGGTAATTACTATTTCTCAAATTTAATTTGTTCGACGTGGTAAAAACACAATATAATAGTTCTTACCAATAAAAAAAAACATCAATTTTCGAACGTCCTAAAGCATTGGCGAAGGTTGTTTTAATTTGTGACACTCACACTGTCACACGCAGCCTCATCAGACAAGACAAATTGGATGATAAGACCTTCAACTTGTATTCATCTCCCAGACGACGTCGTATGGCGGAAATATTTAGTGAGCAATATATTCACGCTCTACAACACAACGCGTGTAGATTTTTCTCTGAGTGTTGTATCACACACCAATCGCTCGCGCTCTCTCCCTCTCTCTCCACAAAGTCACAAGACAACTCACACCAACAATAAAAACAAAAACAAAAAACGCCGAGAAAAACAGAAGAAAAAAAGAAACGTTTTTTTTGGAAAAAAACCGCGATGAGCGATCAGCATCCACGGCTGAACCACCTGCGCAGCACCGCCCAAGTCCTGAGACAAGCGACGACATCGTTTACCGGCAACCTCTTCACCTTCTTCTTCCTCTCCCTCCTCATCTTCTCCTTCCGTACGGTCGTCGAAAATGGGACCTACCTCCTCACATCCTTCATCGACCGCGACCCTTCTCTCAAGTCCCTCCTCTCCCGCCTCGATCTCGCCGGCACTACCAGCCCCAACTACCGCTCTTCCCGATCTCCGGCGGATTCCCCTTCTCCAGTCACCCTCCGCCGCCGCCACCGTCCATTTCTCCACCTCACCCGAGTCGGAACCCTAGACGACGACTTCTTCTCCGGCGACGACGACGACACTCGCTCCCAATTCGGCCCCAATCGCATCGCCCCTATCCTCATTTTCTCCTCCGCCTCTCACTCCACCTCCAAATTAGGGTTTAATGGCACTTACGGAACTAGGGTTTCTGAAATTGTCCGCTCCGGTCTCACGTTCAAAGCCGAGAAATTCACCATTTCCGATGACAGAGCTGGAGAGGGAGATAGGGAAGGCAATAGCAGTGAAGGAGAGGAGAAAGGCGGTGATGAGGAATTGGATGATCGGGTCGTCGATTTGCAATTCTTCATCAAGGGATTGGAGCTGGGTCGCCGAGATGTGGTGACGTTGTTCTTTCTTGTGAGTTTCTTATCTGCAGCTTACGGTTGGGTAATTCTTGGGTTTCTTATTACGTATTCATGGGTTCTTGGTGTTGTGTTTACCACAGTTGTGAATGATCTGATCGGGAGGATTACTTCGTTTGTTGGTCTGGTTTGGGATGGGTCTAGATTGGGCGTCAAGAGGCTCTCTGGGTTCATTCTCATGAGGTGGGCAGTGAGAGATGCTCTCACTCAGCTTCTTGGCTTGTGGTATTTCGGGGAAATTGAGGACCAGTACTCGTTTTTTAAACTTTTCATCAGGTTAAAGTTGATGCCTTTTTCAGTTATGCCTCCGTGGATTCGAGGTTATGAGAAGGAGATTTCTGGGTTTCTGTTAATGTGGTTCGTGTTGGATACATTGGTGGCATTCGTATTTGCTGTCGATGCTTGGGTTGCCATAGTGGATTCGAGGAAGAATGGAAGGGAGATTGTCAAGGAAGGATGTTATTTGATGCTGTCAATGTTGCACCAAGCTATTCAGATTAAGTGTTTGGAAGCTATATTTTGTGGGTCATCTGTAAGATGGATTGTAGCTCGAATTTGTGGAAAATCGTTTGCCAAGCTTTTTCAGGCAACTGTGGAAGTCTACTTTATGGTGGCTTGGCTGATATTTTACTTTGCAGCGAGGGCGAGGTGTAGGGATGCTAGTTCTCAGGGGGATAGGATCGGAGCACTAGATTGAGGGCCTTAGATGATACTTGGCAGTAAATGGCTGGCAGTTTCTCTTGCAGGCTTCAGTTGTAACACTACATTCCTGGTAATCTTTCAGTGCTCTGTGTGTTCCTGCTTTGGATTCCCTGATATTCAGCACTGCTATTGTTTAGTGTAGTCGCTAGACAATGTTGTTGTATGTAATGTATCAGAGAGCAGTATACTACTTGTGTATTACCTTGCACAAGAATCCTTCATGTGTAAATGACATTGCAATCATTGTTTTAATTCCCTGTATTGCATGCTCCTTTTGTTGATGATAATGAAAGCAATTCAGAATCGTCATTGTAAAAGTTACTTAGGTTGTTACAGCATTCAGCCATCATTTTTTCGGTTGTTTTTGTTATAGAGGAATTTCTTTTTGAAGGATACTGTTCTGTTTTCATTTTGGTTATAAACATTGTACAGGATTTGTGAATGCACCTTAATTTACTTTACGGGCCACTGTATAGGTATGTATTAGTGTTCGTGTTACAGTAAGCTAAATGTCATAAGATGAGAAAAGTAGATAACCTTTGTGAGAGTACATAATTGTGCATTCTTGAGGTGTTTTATGTATATAAATGAGTCTAGGGTCATATGAAATATGCATTGAGCTATCAAGTGCTTTCGTTATACGGTCTATATTCATTATGTGCTGTGAGGCAATTTGTATAATTTCATGATGAGATTGTAGAAGATGGATAGGCTTTATCTTGTAAGAGCCTAATGGATAGGCTTTGCCGTGCTTCGCTTAATGAGGCACCCATTAAGTACTTGACTGAAGCCGCCTAGCTGCTGCTGCCAAGCAATTCCCTTGTGGTGATGACTGATGAACAATCCATTAATGACATAGGGATTGATCCACTGACACTGGATCAAGAAAGATTAGTGGGTTTTAATCCAGTCCTTTATTTGATTGGTTCATAGCATGCCCTGTCTCGTCAAACTAGCATAGAATCTGATTCATTATAGCTTTGAAATTGAGTCCAACATCCTGTTGAATTGATAGAGTTTATGCTTGGATGGTACGCTAAAAGGGCCTTTGAGAAGTAATCAGTTTTCAATATTTTTAAGTCATCTGAGCCATGTACAGTACCTTTAATTGGTAGCCTTCCTCTTTGGAATTTTATGGGAAGAAAGCAGCTCTTGGAAGGTCTTTTGCAACTTTGGCTTGAAACCTGGAATATAAAAGGCAATGACTTAGCTGTTCATTCACTGGATCTGCAGATCCCACACTTTTAACCAAGAACTGACTATATATTTATTTACTTCAAAAGATAATAATAATACTAGAGACAAAAAGAAAAAAAAAAAGCTCAAATTTTAGGCACCAACTAATATGGAACATGAAATGACTGTTATTTTAATATCTTAGTTAAAATAATATTATCAAATCCAATGCTGCCACATGGAATAACTAATGGAACAATGAATAAAAGAGCAAGAAGGGGATCTGGAACACTGATACAGGGTAGGAAGTCAATGACATAAAATCTCAAATATATGATGTTCATATGCTGCAATTTTAAATTACTAAATCACTAAAAAGTCCTCATTCCCATGCTTATGGTTTCAAATATAACCAGTAATTTGTTGGGTTCCATTTAATTCAGACATCAGAACCTCCATCTCTTCTTTTATTTTTATTTTTTTGGTCTTTTTTGGTTAAATAAATGCAACCAGCAACCAGTCAACCGCTTTGCCAATGGCCAAAATGTAAACTGAGCTCTCACTCACAAATATGCATCTAGTTTCTGAGTGCTCTTGCATTGCATGAGCAACTGAAAATTTTGGCCCACTTAAAAACTGTGACAAGTTGGTCTCAGTTAGTTGGCTGGTTGGTTCTAGTCCTGCTGAGATCCGGTATACATCAAATATTAGCTCTGGTGTACTTAGTTTGGACCACTTCATTTATGTTTGTTTCATATGCAACATGCTTATAAAAAAACAGCAGAAGTCCTGAGCAAGCAAGCAGAACAGAATTTACTATTCTTGAACTGAATTACATTGGTGACCTAGAACATATTAAATGTTTTACAACTCTACATGTTGTACAACAATAAGGCTGCATATCTGCTGATTTGCATTATTATTGGAGCACAGACCTCATGAATCAATTAAATACCTCAGTGTTGTCTGTTAGTACCGAACTGAATTCTCAAAGACACAGAGGAAACCTTCGATCAACCGGAGAGCTAGCACATCGAACAACATTGAGGAAAAGACTCTCGTCGCATGGGATATAGAGTTTCGAATCAGCATGGAAATCGTATTCTTCTCGAGCTTGATCGAGCAATGCCCTAAAGAGAGGGTGATTAAGTAAGGTGACTTTGATCACAAACCTCTTCTGGTTCTCACCCACATAGACTACTAAGTGACCCTTTGGGACATCTTTTGGGATTGAGTTTTCTTCATGCATGGAAGACCACAAAGCCCATTGACAGCAATTCTCACAGCATGTAGAAGAAGGTAAGCTCCCTCTACTTCCTATCTTCCTCCACTTGTTTGCACACACCCTTACAAACTTCCCCTTCATCATGTTTATATGCATAGAGAGAGAGAGAGAGAGAGAGAGAGAATTGAAATAGATGGGTTGGTTTATTTTGTACGAAGGTGAAAGGCATATATAGGTGTGGAAGAGGAGGCACTATTTTGGAGCATTAAATGGTTGACATGATAGGCTGGGAAGCTGAGAGAGGTGATATTTCTTTTTTCTTTTTAAATGTGATCAAATTATATAACTTTGCTCTACCGTGCTGTACCCTTCACTCCTTTTATATAAATGCATCTTGATACGAAATTTTACGAACATGCATCTCAAAAATTATAAAATCACCCATAAATAGACAATGCCACACTGTGAGCAGTCTTTTTTTTCTTCTCTCTCTCTTAAGAAAGCATGGTGCTTGATGAGTGATTTTTGAAGTTCTCAAAGTTAAAGACCCCACAGGTTGGGAGTGGAAAAGATAAGATATGAAACTAAGGATGGGATAAGCTTCTTGGACAAAGTGTGTGCGATCCCACTTATTTGTAATGCCATGATTTTTTGCTGAATTTAATATATGAATCTGCCAAAAAAAAGAAAGAAAAAGAAAACAGCTCCATAAAAAAACCCAGTAGTGCAGAAAGATTAGATTGTGTGCCTTTTGTGTACATCATCAAGTGCAAGCAACATTCTTTTAGCTGTAACACAAGATATTATTTTACCTATTGCTTTGCTTAGTGTGTGAGTTGAATATGATGGTCGGCTAATGAGAAAGCCAATTACAAATCAAAAGTTTCTGATATTCCTGCTCTGCTGTAGATCACATTTGGGGTAAGATATATGGGATATGAGCTAAGGCAATTGCTTTTCTCTTTTTTTTATACTATTTCCCCCATTTAGTTGCATTCAAGATTTGATCAGGATCAGCAGCACTAATTTGTTGCTTTTTATCATTTCTTGCACCATGTACTATCCGTACGTACAACATTGTTGCTCTGCAGTCTTAATATCCTGTGAGTATCTTTGCAGTTTAGATTTTGGATAAGTTTTTGAGTATCTTTTCAGTCTGACTTTCTGAGCAGGAGATGGGCTATGCGTAGCAGAAGGGATGGATGGATGTATCCTGGGTTGCAGAGCATAAAATGGGACTCACATTATATAATCTTATAGAAAGAAAATTCAATTCTCGATTGTTGTAACATTCTCCATTTCCTCGTCAACCAAAATGCGATCCGTTTTAAGGTTTCTCTAAGAAATAAGCGCATAGATGATCAATATTTATGCATAAACAATGGTATTTTAACGATGACCTAATTCGAGGGGAATGTTCTATTGTCAAACTGTGAAAATGAACAATTAATCATGTTAGTTTGCAATAGTATAAGCATCTCTTTGACAACAAAAGTTTGGCAAGAAAAACTTACCACAGAAACTGATACAAGTCCCAAAATGCGATCCGTTTTAAGGTTTCTCTAAGAAATAAGCGCATAGATGATCAATATTTATGCATAAACAATGGTATTTTAACGATGACCTAATTCGAGGGGAATGTTCTATTGTCAAACTGTGAAAATGAACAATTAATCATGTTAGTTCGCAATAGTATAAGCATCTCTTTGACAACATAAGTTTGGCAAGAAAAACTTACCACAGAAACTGATACAAGTCCTCAAATTAGGTCCTACCACTTTGTTGAAAAATAAATATTACCATCTTGCATGGAGATACAAGTTTAGGCTTAAAGATTAGCCACACTTTCTAGGTACCCCTTATATGTGATTTTCTTAGTATCCTCTGGCTAGTTCTTGTGGAGTTACATACAGGCAGCTAAGAGACCACTTCAGTCAAATCAAGCCATTTCATAAAATATAAATTTGAAAAAGCAAGCAAATAGTGAAACGGTGCCGTTTGTTGTGGATCCTGTGGTGGTGATTCTGAGTGGGTTCAGATGTTCGAAGTTTATTTGCTGAGAGAGAGAGGAGCCAGCACACTGATTCATCCCCTAGAGACAAAGTTTGCTGTGCTAGGTTGGTTGAAAGGCATAGTTCCTCACTCTGTCCAATCATTTTTGACTAAAAACCACCAACAGTTCTGCTGCAGACATGGAGAGGGACTGGAAGAGAATTAATATCCTTGACAACTCTCCTGTCAAATGTCATTCAACATTTTGAAAACTCTCAAGATCCAGCTATCAAAATAAAAGTAGAGATAGAAATCAACTTCCATTTGTTGAGGACTTTTAAATCAACATGTACGAGCTTTAGGTAATGTGAGAAAGTTATATTACGTTGTACAAATTGCTATGTGCTTGTTAGTAGGAAACCATTTTATTCATATATTTCATTGTGATGACATTACAAAAGATATTAAGTTAACCAACATTGAGTTTAGTGACATTCAATTTTCACTTTTTTAAAGATTGTCGTGAATTCAAATCTCACGAACAAACTTGTTCTCCTGAATTCAAATCTCATGATCATACATCTTGGAAGCATATTAAGATGGTGGGTTGTTATAGGGTGG